AGGACCTATCCACATCATCATTTACCCAGAATGCTTTGTGTGTAAATAAAATGGCCCCGTCCGTGTAATATATTTAAACTTTTATTTTACAGTTAAAACATTTGTTTATTAAATAAAGTCTAACGTTACAACTAATCATGGATCCCTTTAAAGTAGTAAGAAAAAAACAACACATTCAAACAGTCAAAAAGAAAAAATAAGTAGGTCCTCTGGACGGGTTCTTCTTTAGTGAAAYGTTTCGTCTCTCCTCCAAGAGACTTCTTCAGTCTGATGAGTTTCAGGTGAACTCTTACAAGTGACTAACCTGTTTGTCCAGGTGGAGGCAGTGCTTATAAGGCTGAGTTCACCTGAAACACAGACTGAAGAAGTCTCTTGGAGGAGAGACGAAACGTTTCACTAAAGAAGAACCCGTCCAGAGGACCTACTTATTTTTTCTACCTGGATCACTGAGATGCATCAGGACATCATTCAAACAGCTTTTCTTACAGGACTGCAACTGCTGTTTCTCAGGTACTTTCCAAGGCTTTCACTGAAGCCATTTTTATACCAACTGGAAAGAACCTTAATGAAACTAAAAGTGAAAGCCCACAGAAGTCTGAGTTTATTCGTTTCAAACGGACCTTTCTCTGAGCAGACGAAGGGTTTTTCCCCCGTGTGCAGGCGCTGGTGGGTCTTCAGCTGACCGCTCTGGACRAACGCCTTCCCACAGTTCGGGTAGTCGCACAGATAGGGTCTCTCTCCTAGAAATAAGTGAGGGTATTGTGATTTTTAAACACACTGTCAAATATACAACTCTTACTGTTCAATAGTTGYGAGTATTCGTGCCGCTCGTACACTTCTCTTGTCAACAATGCACCTGTCTCGCTCACCTGTGTGCGTCCTCTTATGGGCCTGCAGCGACTTCTCTCTGGGGAACACTCGGTTGCAGATGTTGCACCGTATGCGGCTGGATGAAGTCTCGCCCTCATTTATCAGTTCCCGGACCGTGTCTGCTCGTGGCCTGCCTCTGCGGATCCCATCCTGAAAGGACAAGAAATGGATTTCTGACACAATAACAATGAAGATTTTTAAATAATCTGTATTTACTCTGATTTATTGCTACAGAAAAGTGATTCAACAGTTTTAATGATAGCATTAACGATCTCCTCCTGTGAGCTCACGTGTAACACTTTTAACAGTTCTCACATCCGGTTCCAGTTTTGGCGCGCGGCTCCACGTCACGTCTGAGCAGCTGCCGTGAAACCAGGAAGTGAACGGGGTTTARAAACCACATCGTCACACCCTAATGCGCGGGCGTTTTTTTTTAAAGGACTCTCCATTTTAGTAATTTCTGAAAAAAGTGAAAAAGTTTCACTTTTTTTTTAAATTCGCGAACAATCTCCAAACGTTAGCTGTTATTTAGTTTAGAAAACATTAACACCAGTACGCATGCGCTGCACGTTCATACATTTAATTGATAAAGACTGTAGTGTTAACTAAGTTGTAGTTTRAAACATTAAATGTTGCTCAGTTTATGCAAGAGCAGGTTGTTAAAAACAAACGTCCTACCTTCTGGTCAGGCGACGAAGCCGTGTCCGCCTCAGCGGCCGTCTGGGTCCTGGTGGGGGACGCAGCCCCGCTCGCCGAGCCCGGGCTCAGGCTCACGTTGTGGGCGTTCTCCCCCCATTTCCACGGGTAGACCATGAAGTCGCTGAAACCGGGGCTGGTCGGCATGAGGGGCTCCGCTTTGCTGGGCTTGATCGGGGTCGTCTTGATGACGGACACCAGCACTCTTTTGGGTGAGTCGTTGCAGAAAATCACCTGCGGGTGCTGCTTGTCGGTCATTGTGSTTGGAAGGAAATACAAGGCGGTTTTTTTCCTCTTTTGGTCGCAAAAGCTGTACAGTAAGTTAGCAGACTTACAAAACACGGAGAGAGAAAAAAAACTACATTTAAAAAAAGCGCGCGCCCTTTTAGTCCGGGGTAAATATGTCCTTCATTTCCAGCGAGGAACAAAAGGAATATCCGCTCCTCGCTTCAAAGTGATCCGCAGACGTCACGGAGATGAGAAAAACCACGCAGAGTTAGTTTACTTCCAGGCGCAGCGGCTCGTTTGAACTACCTGTGCCCAGTCCACACACAAGCTTCGTCCCGCGTTGCAAAATCGCGCCTGAGCAGTTCACCAACCAACAGGCTGCGGCCATCTGCCACCACGTGATCACAACAACCAATGGCAGAAGTTCTTACAGCCAAAACCCAGCAACCGCACCAACCAATAACAGAACGGGAAAGAGATATGTGACGCGATTGGCTAAGATGGCATCCGTCCAATGGAGTTTAAAGATTCTGCGCGCGTTCCATTGAACTGACGTTGGCCTCGGCCAATGAAAACGAGCCAAACGAACACTGTAGCCAATGAGAATGAAGGGCGGTTGATTTTACGTAGCAGGTGAGCAGATGGCTTATTCCCGCGCTGAGGAGTCTGTTTATATTATGTTTTTCTTGCTTTTTAAAGGGAAAAAAAAACAGTTCGAAGCGCCAAAATTACATCATCACTTTAAGGAGGAAGTACACGAACAAAGGGTGTGCTGTTTGAGAGAAGCAGAAACTTATTGCAGGGTTGTATTTAGTGATGTTCAATAAGGCCAATTTTCTTTCTGATACCGAGTAAAATGTGGCTGGTATCAGCAACACTGATCTGATACTGATACTTTGTGACTGTGTGTCTGGGAAATCTTAAAAAGTAGCGTTTTTCAAATAACCACTTTATAAACAATACATGACATAGTCATTTATTTATTAATTTAAAAGTCTTTCTAACCCTAACCGTTTATCTATTTAGCACAATTTAAAATTCTTATTCTAAAGAAATATAATAATTTTTGAATAGTGAATAAAAGTGAGAAAAAATATTTAAAAAGTTGTTACTTTGTATATTTTGTAGCACGGTTTGTGGGTTTGCAAGAAGGTCCCTGGCCAGAACTAATGCTGTTTGTGGGGCCATGAGTTTGGAAACCCCTCATCTAGAATATAATTACAGTCAGACGAAGCAGATTATATGTTAAAATGGCCTGACATACATCTACAAACTGACTGACTGACTGAGCACAGGCCACCGAGCTGATGCATCACCAAGTGGAAGAAAAAATAGTTTCCTCCAACCACATTTGATTTAGACAAGACTTGAATAGTTATTTTCCACTATTTTCCTGTTAATGATATACATTATGTGAAATAACTGAAGTATCAAAATATCAACATTTTGATTTTAGTATCAATTCTAGAGCATAAAGTTCTGGTATCGGTAGTATTGATATTTCAGTATCAATCTGCACGTCACTAGTTGTATTAGCCTATTTAACAATGCCATCAAAATCATACTGTGTTCTTTACCTAATAATGTTCATGGCCTGTAAATATAAACAAAATAAAAAGTGTTGTCATTACGCATCTTTTTGTCTTTGTTTCTGATTGTATTTTTAGTATCAGTATGTATTTTTAGTATTAGTATATTATCTCAAGCACTTTGAATTGTTTTTAGAATGTGGTTGTTGCCCCCATTAGCGGAGCTAATGCAACAGAGAGCACACGGTGCAGATCAAAGTCCTGAATTWGATTTTTACAGTTATTATTCTCTTCTTGAGTTGGCAGATAACATTAAGATAAGTTCCTGCAAACACTTTGAAGAGACCTGCCACTTGGTGAATGATTTCATTTCCTCATCTTCAATCAGCATGGCTCAATAAACATTTTGGGTATTGCTTTCTGCCACGAGGATTAAAATAAGGTTAAGAAAAATAATAATAATTTAGAGGAGAATATCAATAGATTCCACAATAGAAGGCCCTGCAGTGCATCTTTCTAATGGAAAGCACAAATTAAACAAGTCACACACAACAGAGATGTAGCTAGTAGAAACAATGTCAATCAGTATTTTGTTGCAAATAGTATTTCTTTGACTTATGATTTTTAAGTTTGGCGTCTTATTTGAATTTAACTCTGGATCKTACTTTGTATGAGTCTATTATATTTCCTGAAAAGCATCAAAGCTGACACAAGAGCGCCCCTGTACCAGTAGAAAGTGCCTCAACACATTCTGACCACTAGATGAAGCCAAAATGCATCATAAAATTTCTCCTGACTCATTCTCCTGGTAGGCGACACAGCTGAGTCAGATTTATTTACTAGTTTTACAGTCTGTCTTATAGTTGTTTTGCACAGCTATCGTCTGAGGCTTACTTTTCAGTCTGCGTTTTTGCCTCCCTCATTAACTTGGCTGTTTAAAGACACAGGTGTGTGGTTACCATGCATGGTGGCCCTAATGCAGGGGCGGAGCCAGGAGTGGCCATGGCCACCGCAGAAAAATCTTTGGCCTCCCCATTGGCCATCCTACTCTACACACCCCTTCCACAGTGAAACAACCTTTAGGGGTGTAATAATCCTCCTGAACAGTTGGTGGCAGTGTTTAACAGTTTGAAACATCACCAAACTCAAAAAAGTGAAAAAAAAAAAAAGTAATTGTTTTCTTTATATACAGAAATATGTAATCTAACTTATGG